AAAATTTAATTTGCCAAGAGATGACCAGACAACATCAAATGGGGAATTTGATATTGTCTGGTCATCTCATCTTTGAACTTCTATTACTCTTATGGCTGGACTAGTGAATTCCATTTAGAAATCCATCATCAGGAGTACGCAGAACTCCACTGAACATCCACTAGGGGACGGTGGATCTCATTTTCCCTTATAATAATCACTCTTGTTGGCTAATATGATAGCGTACACGGGCGGGCCTGGGGACCTTCATCATGTGAGGGAATACCTGTCATAATACTTTAAAATTAATTATCTATTAGGTAAAAACAATCCCATCATCGTTTTACTTTTACATCTGACGTCTACATTTACAGCAGATTATGTCTATTAAATTTCATTACAGTTCAGAAGACATAACTGTGTTTGCTAACCTAGGCCTTTCAAATGTTTTATGTCTAAAAGTGCTGACAGTGACCCTTATTTGACAATAAAGTAACATAAAATACTGAAGAGGATGAAAAATCAAAAATCTTCTTCCAATATAGGGAGATTTGAAAAGTATGTATAACGTAGCAGTGTATTTAACCTACTTTAATCATATGTGTAAGACTACAGTGTTGAGTATAAACTTTTGAAGAGTTGGGAGTACCCGACTCTCTTATCGTCTTCCCTGCTCTTCTTTCTTCCTTCTCCATTCTCTTACTCCCTCCTGCTTTCCTTTTATCCTTAAACTCTCCCTTCTTCTATCCGTTCCTCCATCTTTTTCTCCTTTTCAACCTTCCTTCTGCTCGCATTTTCTTTTCCTTCCTATTCCTATTATTCTCTCTTTATCCTTTTACCTTCTGTCTCTTCCTCTGTCTGCCTTCTTACTGTCCTGTCTTCTTTCTTTCTGTCGTCTTCCCATTCTCTTGCTATGTGCTCCATATTGACCCCTGGTACATTATACTGATCACCTTATTAACTCATTCACCCCTGAAATTTTATAATGAACTATTCCAACCTTTGAATAGGAAGAGTTCAAATGTGTCTTCAAGGGTAAATGAGTTAAGTACCGGTATATTAATGATTGACCAAGAGAAACCAATAGCACTATATGGAGATGAATTGCTTAAACTCTTACTATTTAGTGTTTCCATACTTCTGTATTTTATCCTTGGATATTACAGTCCTAAAGGAAGGATAATTTACAGCAACTTATATAGTTAAGTTACGCCATCATTGAATTTATTGTTTACACATATAATCCTTTTTTATTTTTCTCTGTATTTCTCTCAAAATCGAAATAGGAACAATAAAAGGAAGTGAGCTTGCACGTTTAGAAGGAATAGCAGAGGGAGGACAAAAAAACAAGAGTTTTCCTGATGCAGATGAATTTGAAAATACTGGAGATGAAGTCCTTACTTTCATGTCCACCATTAGATCAGATACTGAGAGTACAGACAAAATTGTCCAGGCAAGATTAGAAGTAACAGACGGACAGCTCCCACAGAGCTGCGAGAAATCTGAGGATTTTGAGGAAACTGACCAAAGACAACCTATTTCCAGGGACACAGAAAGTAAACAATTGAATGTTCTGCCTCAGGGCAATGATTTAAATGTTTCCCATGATGTGGTAGAGACAGATGACCTGCAGCGTTCAATATCCAAATCCTCTCTGGAGCAAAACTTAGTGCTTATCAACAATGCAGTTGACTTTGCGAATCTGAATGCACCCCACAACCAAGCATCGGAGAAAGAATCTCAAAATGTCCCCGGTTCAAAGCTTTCGCATGGTACAGTTTCTTTGTCCAAAAATGCAAACCAAGACATTAGATCTGATCCTGATTTGAAAGAAACCTTGGACTTGATTGTTCAAGATTCTGCTGTTTTAAACAAAACCGAAGATACTACAAATATTACCCAGATTTCATCAGAGAGTATTGTAACAGAAAATGACCTTCGATCCATAGAGTCAGTTGCATCAAACACCCATAATGCATCAGATGACAGTCAGTCATTGGATCTCAATACCCATGATGCATCTGACACTGACCATAAGTTAACTGATTTGGCATATTTGGATCGAAACACTTCTGAGGTTTCAGAAGTAAGAAGCCTGATAGAATCAGAAAATTCTGAATCTTTGACGGAGACAGATGTAAACGACACATTGAATGAAGACGGTCAGGAAAACAACTCAACCACAGATACCCAGCATTCAATTGTTGACTCTTCCCATAGTGCACTTAAACAGGAAGTGAACTCTGACCCTGATCGTGAAGGACATTCCAATTTACACCTGCATATCCGATCGTTTAGAGGTATTATACAGAAAGGCTTGATATACATATATCTGATTTGATTTTGCATGGCATGGCTTTTTGACTGATGTGATGTAATGAGAAAATTAAATGATTACTGCATGGGTTTGTTTAAAGATTTTGTGCATTTCTGCTTGATTTTACATCTAAGAATCATTGAAGTTCAGTATTTCATTTCAGAATTTTAACTGTTGACATTATAACGCTACATAACTGACAGATGTATGCGAAGAGTTCTGGTCTAATTGAGGACTTTCTGTCTTTTACATGAAAGGGAAAATTTTATATCTTAACATATGTAACTTGTTAATAAATCTTCTGTAATTTATTAATTAATTTACTTGTGCATCTTGTTAATTTTACGTATGCAACTTGATACTTAAATGTGTGACACCAGAAAAGGTTGCAGTAACTGTTTCTTTAAAGAATTCCTTTTATTGGAAATTGATATAAATGTTTTTATGAAAATTAAGCATGAAAATCAATGGACAACGATTAACTGACTTGGAATTTTAAAAATGCTGGATTAAACTGGAATGCTTGCATTAGTTCATACATATATATAAACATTACATATCAGTAGAGAAGTTCACTTGTTTATCAGTGAAAGTCACAGATAATATCATTGTAATAGTTTAAAATGTCACTTCACCGCATGTTATTAATTGATAACATCATGCATTTATAATTTTGTTGAATAATTTTTTTTATTTTTTTTTTACACCGGATTGAGAAAAAGCATGAAAACACTGACTTTGCATGAACTATCACATTTAAATAATGATTTATTGCATTTCTTTGATTTGTATTTTTCAATTTGACTTTTGTTTGTTTACATTTTGATGTGAGATTAATGCTGGTTTATAAGATTAATCCTCTTTCATTATTTACGTGGATAATATTTCTACTTGCTAAACCAGACATGCATTGCTTAAAATCAAAACATATACCCATGGCTTTGTTTTGCTTTCAAGTTTATACAACAAATTGAAGTTCTTCATCATTTTTTCTCTGATTTCATAATTTCTTAATACATGTTAATCTACTGATAAAGATAGCAGGAATGGATCTCCCAAAATCTTAGTTACATTTGAAGATGTTCTTTTAAATCATTTCAGAAATGAAAAAAAGATTAATTAGAAATAAATTATACACTTCAACCTGTTCTATGTCTAAGAATATAAGGTGGGAGGGCAAGAATTTGTTTCACAAGGTCAGAGGATGAGAAATTCGTTTAACAAGGTCAAAGGGCATTTTTAAAACTCATTATACATGCATAAGAGTAGATCATCACTTATATTTTCAAGTTAAATATGAATGTCTTGTTTATGGAATAAAATTGACCCAATTTTCTTGTAGAGTCTACAAAATAAAACCTAGATAATAACATCCCTCATTTTATTATCTCACCTGGCTCAAAGCAGTATATGAAAAGTTTCTCAGATTCATTTGTAGGAAATGTTTAATTTAAGTCACCCTCCAAAATACGGAGAGTTGGCAAGTATGAACTACATGTATTAAGGTCTCTTGGTATCTTGGTATTCTTTGCTGAGCCTATGATCTGAAACAAAATCTAAGGTTTGACAAACAGTAGATAAATGACATTTTTATAGACATACAAGTTGGTTCCCAGGATACTACTGTAATCCAGGTATCAGTTTAGGAACAGGAAATGAAGTTTTTTTTCGTGAGTGATAAAATTTATCATGAAGTCGCCTGTTTAATTTTAAGTAGATTGGCATAGGACAGTAGCGTGTGGAACAATTTGAAAGATATATAGACTCATAAAGAACAGAGCTCATTGTATTTGGAGTGGATTGGGAAACAAAGTAGGAAATTAATAACTCACAAATTTCAAATCTCCGCTTTTTTATTGGATGATATAAGTATCGTAAACTTACATGTACTTGTTACAAAGCACCTGTTCTTTGTGGCACTCTCCATGGCCAGTAGGGATTGTAACAGTTCACTTTTCCAGTAATGGCAGGACAGGGTTTGAGTTGATACTCGGAATATCTTGAATCTGTGAATCTCAGAAGACAGAGTTGGTTTTACTTCATATGTTGTAGTTTCGACTCAACATATTTAAGTGTCTTTAAATTAACAAGTTCAGGTGAGTTAAATGTGAATATATATATGTATTGTTACATTGATTTCTTTAAAAAAAAAAAGTTAAAACTGTTGGAGAATGGAATATGTTTTATAGAGGTTCAATTGTTTAATGATATTTGACACAAATTTATTTTTTAGATATGAAATTTTGAGTATGTTTATGATTTTCATCTGCTGATGATATATTTGAAAACAACAACATACAATTTAATTTCAGTCATAATGATTAAGAAAGGTTGACTTAATTTTAACATTATCCTATTGATACTTTATAAAATTAATGAAAGATAGGACCATTACAATGTAGGGTTACTGTGTACTCACATTGGTCGTTAAGGGCCAGATATTGAAATAGTACGATTACAATGGTAAGTACTTTTACAACAGTGTCTTTTTAAATCTTTGAATTTATCATATTTTTGTAATGAAGAATTTAACGTGATCTGATGTACACAATATTTCAGATTCTGAAATCTCCTTAAGAAATAGATTTCTATGTTCTGAAATAACCTGGAATTTTCATGATGACAATCTTACGTTAACTTTTGTATCAGAAATATTTTTACATGGACAGTTCTGTTTTATTAAGATGGTGATTGATTTTTTCAGAGTCGGTGAAGGAAGACGATCAGGAGATGCCACCAAAACCATTGTCAGAAAAACCCAAACCACGTAAGTTTTTTTCAATTTTTTTTTAACATATTTTTTTTAACCAAACAGCGAACTATTATGCTATCCTGTGACATGGAACCGGAATTCACATGCAGCTTACTGAACAGGTGAAAGACATCCAGCAACTTTGAAATCAACATTGTAAATCTGATAATTTGACGTCAATATTAGGAAATGTTGAGAACTGACATACCAAAGTCCTTCAAAATGGTAGTTATTAATCTTGTTATTCTCTTACCCTGGACAGTCAATGTAACCGCGATTTTACCGGTGTGAGATTTCCTTGTCTCACCCCATGGTTGAGGGGATTCCCCTATTCATAACAATGGTACGACTTCACTTCAACAATACAATGACGTCATGTCAACAATCCATTAATGTCATGTCAACCCTGAATTTAGCCTGTGGTGTTAACATTACATTTTTAATATGATACACAATGGGTAAACAGGGTAAGAAAAAAAAAATCATTCACCCCCTTTTGTTAAGCAGGAAATAATATAATCTCTCATCCCCTTGTGGTAGAGATGGGGGAATCTCATCCCTCGGGGAAAGATTCTTAAGTTGCCAAACACTTGGCACAGCCTCATGTTTGGCAACTTAAGAATCTTCCCCCTCAGGTTGAGTTCCCCAATCTTATGCCCAAGGGGATGAGAGATTCTATTATTCCCTGCTTATATTAACATTCAGCATTTAGGGGAATAGCAATAACTGGTTCACCTGTTGTCAGTATAATGTGACCAGGCAGAATGCTGTGCTCGGTGCCTTCAGCATGGTATTTCAATGGGATAGCACTATAAAGTTGGCATCAGATCCACGTTATCCGGGGGACCTTTTATTGCTGGAAGTACATATTGCCTTGTTTTGTTACCCATACAAATATGAGACAAATCTGTTAAAAAACATTTGAGGTCCTTGTAATTTTTCTTTTTTCAGTTATATATGAATATGGGATAGATGCACGCATTGTGCATTTTTTTTATACGTGTATATAATAATTGTACAGGTATGCTAATATACACTTAAGGACCTAGTCTTACATCAGTACAGGTCACTCAGTCTGTCTGATTGAATGTTAACGATTAAGGGGGTTGATTCCCTGTATTGATACAACGTTAGATCTAAACGTGAAATCATCGTAATGGTAGGTGATTTCTGGTGAGATAAAAAGGCACCTCTACTTAGAATTCTGTCACGATCTCTGCTGAACTGAGTGTGTAAATTTGACATTAGCTCAAAGTGTCTTTAAATGTCTATAGTTATACTGTAAACACTAGGTGTGACTTTATCGTGCAAGAATCACTGCGACACTTATTGTGTTGAATGAGCTATTAATATATCACTCCATGAGACCGAGATAGGTAAATGGGTTGGCCCAGTGATAAAGAAGGTCACAATGATATAAGATAGAGTTGTTTCCCTTGGTTTTATCAGGGTCAGTGATCATGTACAATATTTATGGCTTTGACTGTCAAGTCTGATCAATATACAGGTATAATTATAGGGTAGGTATATATAAGTGGAGATTTAATGGTGAAAAATAGTACACCGGTGTCGTCAATGAAAGATCATCTTAAGGCTTTATGCTACCTTAATTTATGTAAGAGTTATCTCCCTAAAAAATATACATAATTAAAACTTAAGGAACCAAAAATACTTATAAATTTGTCATTTTGTCTTTTTCTGTTGTGTTTATAATTTAATAATAAAATCAAGTTGCCATTTTTTAGAAAGATATTTAAGTTCCCTCTTCATGTGGAACTCTTTATAGAAAGGAGGTGAACTTAACTGTAAGGTAGCATATGTCCTTAACCAATGTTGAGAACATAAAATATTGCCAATAAGGATATTTTTTTATTCATGTACCATAAGATTAAACATACATGTATTAATAAAAGATGATTGGCTTTGCAAGATTATTAGGGCCCCATATCGGAGATACGGGTGCCCTATAGTAATCACTCTGTCTGTCTGTCTGTCTGTCTGTCTGTCTGTCCACAAATTCTGTTCCTGGCTGATAACTTTGGTATTTATTGACCGATGTAGATGAAACTTGGTCAAGATGTTCAGTTCACAAAAATACACATTGAGGTAAAAAATCAAGGTCAAAGGTCAAGGTCATTAGGTTCAAAGTCAAGGTCAAATTTTACATCTTTTCACTGATGAACATTTTGTTATGACATCATGAAGCAAAGTTGATCAGAATTAAACAAAGAGTCAACTGACCAAAGGTCAAGGTTCTCGGTAGAGGGGTCAAGGTCAAATTTTGTAGCTTTTCACTGGTGAACATTTCGCTATGACGTTATGACGCAAAGTTGTTCGGAATTAAACAAAGAGACACACTGAGGTAAAAAGTCGAGGTCAAAGGTCAAGGTCATTAGATTCAAAGGTCAAGGTCAAATTTGCATCTTTTCACTGATAAACATTTTGTTATGACATGATGAAGCAAAGTTGATCAGAATTAAACAAGGAGTCAACTGACTAAAGGTCAAGGTCATTGGGTCAAAGGTCATGGTTAAATTTTGTACCTTTTCCCTGATGAACATTTTGTTATGACATTATGAAGCAATGTTGTTCAGAACTTAACACAGAGTCAACTGACCTTAGGTCCAGGTTAAGGGGTCCAAAGTGTCAAGGTCAAGTTTTGTATTTTTCACCGATGAACATTTTGTTATGATATCAAGAAGCAAAGTTGGTCGGAATTAAAGAATAAGTCAACTGACCAAAGTTCAGGGTCACTAGGTTAATGGTCAAGGTCATTTGGGTCCAAAGGTCAAAGACAAAGTGTATCTCTGACTTTGACCCTGGCTCTTGATGTAGGAGGTATATAAGGTGAAATAAAACAAATCAAAGCTAACAAATGAGTATTACACCGGTATTTACATTTCTGTTAGCCCAGCAAATATGGAGGAGGAAGGAAACAAGACTCGCATCATAGTACATGTAAAATGTATATTTTGCTTCCTTGCGATTCTTTTTGAAGCCCAAATGTCAAACTTCAAGCTCAGCTATATGGGCAGCTTGCTTCTTGATGATTATGGGGGATATATTGCCACAGGACGGGGCCCTTACTGACCTGTCAGTGTTCTAGTTAATTCTACCAATGCCCTATTTTTCAACCCTTGAGAAAAACAGTTGCACAATTCTAGATGGTGAAAAATTAAAACATGTTGAATTTCAAAATCTGGGTTAACAGGCAGTAAAAGCCCTTTGGGGAGTTAGCTCAAATTTAAATGCGAGAAAGTATGACCTGTTAATGAAAATATTTAATAAAAATATGTTCTTGGGAGACAAAAATAGAAGATTATCTTAAAAAATAAGAATAAAATAAAATTGTGTCTAAAACAGTTACTGTTTTAAATGTCTTTAAGTTGAAATTCAAAGATTTTCTTTTCAGATTACAAGGTAGTTGAAACATTTATATTTCAATTTAAAAATATTTGAATGAACGAATCATACAGTTAAGGTCTTATCAACTAACATAGCTATCTTATCTTACAGTTGGTTTAAACAACATTATGATTTTCTTTGAGTTACAAATCAAACGTATAATAATAGGTTCACAGTGCAAGATTGTCCCGTGATCGATTTGAGGTGCAAGAACAGATCACACGCATGATATCCCATGATAAGTTTGTGACGACTGTGAGATATCTCCCTGATTGTACAATTTATGTATATTTCAGTGTGGGAATCTCATAATTTTTGTGGAGACAGATATCTCATTGATTGTACAATTTATATCTATCTTGGTGTGAGAAATTTTATATAAATTTTGTGCAGATGGACGTGTTTGATTGCATAATTCGAGGGGGGGTAATTTCAACACTAATTGTAATCATATTCCCCATTGCCTCAGCTCCTCTGATTTCTTTTTGTAACAAATTTTCATCAAGGTTCGGGCAAATGTCAAGTCTGAGAATAAATCTCAGATGAGTTTGTATTTTGGGATTCCAAGGTCAATGCCAAGGTCACTGTTGCTATTTTTAGGTCAACCTTTGCTTGTTTTCAACAGATTAGTTGTCATCAGTTTACCTGTTTCAAGGCCAAGAGAGCATTCATGTCCCAAGATGTTTTCAATGTTGCTTATACTGGATAATGACAGGATCAGTATTTATCTATGAATACCGTGTTATGCACTGTGAGTGTCATAAAGCCATCACATAAATTATGTTTATGTAACGTGTATAATGTCACGCCGGAAATGACATCACAATCGAAAAGGAACAATCAATGTGATGTCACTTCATTGTAAAGCAGACACAATTTTCATCGTTTCAGAGACGGCCAAGTGCAAAATATTTGTTTCAGATCACAATTATACAGTTTACTTTGTATTATATGATAAAAATAATCTGTCATTTGTTTCCTCTCATGTAAGATTTATGGTAGTCGTTTTGGATTTTTCATATTTACTCGCCTCTCTATATGATTTCGAGAATGGCAAAGGGAGGCAATCCCTACATAGACGTTAAAAAACGAGGTAATGCTGAATTGGAGCACCTTGTTTTATGCCTTTGTCTAGAGAAATATCATTAACCTGCACTAGAGAAGTCTGACTTCTCAAAGTTATATAGAAAAAATGTATTTGTTCTTGTAATGTTTGAATATCTCAATACATTTTGTTGCATGAATGTGTCAAAAAAACTTCAAATATTGCACTTTGTTTTACACTTTGTTATGCAATGAGTCTTAACTCTTTCACCACTGTAGACCATAATTGATCCATCCAGATCAATACATGGTATAGGGTCTACTACAGTTACATAGGGGTGAAGGGGTTAATGGATGTTACATGGAATTTGATAGCGGCGTGTATAATGTTCTGACTCTGTGGTACTCATATAGGGATTGAACGGTAGGAGGCTTCATGCAATATGGATGTCATTGATTTGCCTTCGTACCGCATGAAATTTATAAAAAATTAAAGGCCGTTCAATCCATATATTTACATTTTTACTATAGAACAATTGTTTAGTTTATTTATTTGTCCTGTTAAC